CAAAAAGAATGCATATGAAAATGGAGATGTTGCTTGACTAAAAGATTGTTATAAGCATGATTGCCTGAAGAATGATTATATGCATGGTTATCAGAGTTTGACACATTCTGAAAATTTAGCAACTTCGGCTAGCCTATATTTAACATGCCCTCGCCAAGTTGTTTCATTTATGGGAATGTGAATAAAGGGTGCCCGTTGGATTATCACCAAGTTGTTGTTTGATTTATGGTAACCTGAGTAGTTGAATTTTATAAAGACCCTATTATGACGTAATTGGTTGCGTGAATTTGACTGATGGGAGAAGATTTGTAAGGGCTTGTTTGTGTGTTGGATGTTGGTTAGGAAGTTGCTTATTTTGTGATTTACACTATAAAACGGTTGAATGTGGTAAGATTAATTTGAAATTTCTATAGGATTTGGAAAGAAGCATTAATTGACTGGTGTGTAAATAAAGGTTTACTTAATAGCAATCATAAGTGTCCTGTTTGTACAAAGGAAATGCATATGGTCGAACGTAAAGATCGTTCGGATAGCTTTGAATGGGTTTGTCGCGAGAAAGGTTCAAATGGTCAACATATAAAGCATTCCGTTAGAAAGGGAACATGGTTTGAGGAAAGTTTTTGGATGCTGTTTAGGAATTTTGTGTTCCACAGACTGAAGACAAAGAAATTTCTAAATAAGGTAGGTGGCTATTTCCTTTGTGTAGTGCATAGTGCTTTTTTATGCCATTTCATTGTTTGATTTAAAAACGCAGTTTATTGAGATTATATATTTTTTATGCGCAATGCCGAGTTTGTGCAATTCTGTGATTTTTTTAAAGTGAAAATAGGTCAATGTGTACATGGATACCGAGTTTGTCCATTTCTTTGACTTGTTATTTTGGCTTTGTTTAGTGGTGATTTTTGGCACGAAAATCACCGCTAAACAAAGCTAAAATAGCAAATCAAAGAACTGTATAAACTCTGTGTCCATGCACCACCAAGTTCGCCAATGGGGCACCGTCAAATGTAGTTTTACTGCAACTTCTACTAAGGCAGTTGCAATCAAATGTATCTTTCTCTCTTGTTTACATAATGTTTGTATTTTACTGCCATCTATCACTATATGATTGTCACCACAGCAAGTGTCTAATTCTGCTTTTTGTAATTCTTTGATTTTAAATGAAAACAGATCACTGTGTATCTAAGACGAATACTAGTAATGCATCATATAATATATACAATGCTTAGTATAAAATATTTATTCAATAATTAAAACTTTTATTTAAAATTTCTGAAATGTACTTTCTTTTGTACGTTGATAATGTTTATCAACTTACTATAGATACTATGTTGTTCTTTTTAAAAAAAAGGCACCACAATCTGCCAATAAAAGTTTACAATGAGGTGCGCCTTGATATTTTTGCTGATTTTTTTTATGCTAACAATCACTGTTTCCATGATCACTGTTGCCACAAAACAATGCCAACACATAAGTTACAAAAAAAAAAAAAAAAAAAAAATACATACCTTATTTGTTTTTGAGTTTGTCTCCTTGTCAGCTTCAGATTACTATAGCACATACAGTTTTTTATGCTACTCATGTAATTCTAGAAGGGATCCCCCTACTCCTGATCCTGGTAGTGGCAACATCATATGAATTCAGCAGCGTAAAATCGAAAATGCTACCCAACAACTGACTAAGACCCCAGTTGTGAAACTCATATTTAATCTGGTTCCATATATACTTAATGGTATTGGTATGGAAACTAGGGTTGATCTTTACAATATGGTAACTGGTAGTTTGGCGACATTTTGGAGGCGATAAAGGTTACTACCTGGGACTTTGGTAATAATGTGAGCAGTACTCAGTTCCGATTACGCATTATTTTGTGTGAGGGAAATGAGAGATCATGGGATATGTCATGTGATATTAATGGACGAATTACGGTTCTTTAATCGGAAAAGGGGGGAAATCGGGAAAAAATCTGGAAATTTTGTATTTGGCTTTATTCTGTGTTGTGTGTGAAACAGTGTTCGTGAATTTTTGGATCCCATGGCCGTAACTAAAGTGAATTCGAAATGGGTATTTATGTATGTATTAATTTAATGTATGTGCTCATTTATATTTTAAGTAGTGTTTTTGAATTTAATTATATTTTAATTAAATGATAGTTATTTTGTGAATTTTATGTTTGTAGGAATTTGGTATACGTTTTAGTTGAAGTAAACGTGCATGGAAATAATTTAAATATTCTGACACTAAGTATTTGTAATGTTGCGGTATGAATTCGTTGGTGACGTGTATAATGTAATAGATGATTTAGAGGTAAAAGTTTTTGGATATTTTATTTATTTTATATGTGGAAATGTTCATATTTGGAAAGGGTAAATACTTTTTCGCGATCAGGTAATTTCATATATGTTCTTTTTACCGGGTTTAAAGATTGAGAAAATTGTCATGTCATGTTATATGAGAAAATTGTCATTTTCGTGAAATTTTTCTAATTTATGAGAAAAAAGCAGTGTACATGGATATAGTGAAGAGTGTGCGCAATGCCATTTTTGTGCAATTCTGGGATGTTTTTTTAAGTAAAAATAAGTCGACGTGTACATGGTTTAGTGATATTTTAATTAAATGATAGTTATTTTGTGAATTTTATGTTTGTAGGAATTTGGTATACGTTTAAGTTGAAGTAAACGTGCATGGAAATAATTTAAATATTTGATACTAAGTATTTGTAATGCTTGCGGTATGAATTCGTTGGTGACGTGTATAATGTAATAGATGATTTAGAGGTAAAAGTTTTTGGATATTTTATTTATTTTATATGTGGAAATGTTCATATTTGGAAAGGGTAAATACTTTTTCGCGATCAGGTAATTTCATATATGTTCTTTTTTACCGGGTTTAAAGATTGAGAAAATTGTCATGTATTTTCGTGAAATTTTTCTAATTTATGAGAAAAAAAGCAGTGTACATGGATATAGTGAAGAGTGTGCGCAATGCCATTTTTGTGCAATTCTGGGATGTTTTTTTAAGTAAAAATAAGTCGGCGTGTACATGGTTTATGTGTATGTGTTATTTTGAAAAACGCGTAAGGAGTATGGTATTGTGCACTTTTTCCCAATTTTGCAGTGAATATTTGTCATGATTAAGCAGTTTTGTTAGATAAAATTTCTAGCATAAGTGTAATTCGGCTAGTAGATTGTTGGAAGAAGTGTTCAGTAGATAAAAAGAAAAGAAACATGTCTTTACTTCGTGAAGACAAAATGGCGGCGGGAAAAAAAAAAATAGAGGGTTGCTGTAGGAGAGTTGGTCGCCAAATTTTCGCCAAAAAAACGCCAAGTTACCATAATGTAAAGATCAACCAAAACTAGTTTCAGGGTCTTAAGTCAGGGAGCGATTCACTGATAAATGCTGGAGCCTTTACTATCCAAGCCATCCAAGGTTTTCCAGAAGGCTGAGATAATCATGGCTTCACTCAGGATTTTTCGAGATCACCTCCAACACCTCTTTCATGTGATCTTTCACAATATACTGAATGCTTCAAAAAACACCTTTCCCTCCCTCTTTCAATACCACCAACTACCAACTTTCCATTCACCCTTCTAACCCTACTATACTTCTTTTTGCCAAACTTGTGCTCATCAGTCTCCAGAATAATATCAGGGCTGTCAATTATCCCTCTTTTTTACACATACATCAATACATAGTTCTTTACAAAAATTCCTCCAATCAACCACAATTTCATTCAAACACACATTTATCTAATTCATAAGTCGATTCATTCTAGCTTCATATATCCACAAATAAGCAAAAATTAAAATGCTTATTATATTAACTTCACTTTTTTTAACCATGTACCCTTCCTTTGATAGCCAACTGATCAGTCTTCATGCTTAACCAGACACGTATCTTTCATACAAACTAGACATTCATACCGAGAACAGATTAAACTTTCATTCATATACCAGTCAATAATAGTTTTCTTATGCTTTTGCTCTAAATCATAAAAAAAAAAAAAAAAGAATACTTATCTTATCAGACATACTTCTTTGTTGAGGTGTCAGACAATGATTAACTTGAACCAGCCAGCTAACAAAAATCAATGGTATATTAACAGCATTTAAAATTCCAATAAGGCAAATTTCCAAATAGCCCTCGATCACTAAACTAAGAAGTTCCAATCAGATGAAATTAAAAAATATTAGCATACAACAAAAATGGTTGCCATAACATTGGGAAAAGTGTTGATTCTGGGTTACTAGAAAGTCGGTACCAGCATAGATATTTGGGATCAATCCAAGAGGCAACCTTTTCTGCACTAAAACCATTCTGCCAACTTGACAAGTAAGTTTCATCCAATATTATTTATGAACAAAATAGTACCTATGAGACAGAAATATATAGTCAAACAATTTTCACCAACTCACAAAATCACCAATGAGTTGGTGACTTTTCAAAGTACAGATAATCAGAAATGGTCATTAATTTAGAATACACATCACATTACATCCCAACTATGTATATAATAATTAATGTGCTATCTAGACACTAATCCTTTGCCTAATCTTTAACCACAGAAATTTCAAGCATTAATTACTCAACACAGAACAGGTAATAAATTGGTAACTGTGAAATAAAAAATAAATTTATATAACTAACTACAAAAAAAAAAAAAAAATTATACTTGCTTTCCTTAAAAATATATTTCTGATGCATTTCAGAGTTTTTCTCAATTATATATGAAATTAATAGAAGTTGTACACTATAAAATTAGTGCAATAAATAGAGTATCAAAATAAATCTCACTCATTCATCAGTCACTGACTGATGAATAATCAATCCTACTCCAACCTGTCAATCAATACATTCAGTGCGTGAATAAAAATTAATTAACAGAAAAATTAAACACAGTAGTGCCCTTTTATATTAACTTAAGAAGGAGAACTCTTTAACAACTGCAAATGGAAATCTTTAACGCAAATTTAATACAAAACCATTAAACATGTACTCACATAAAAATGCGGAAATAGCCTTTTAATGTGACAACACACTGAAATATAATGCGATATATAATTATAATGCTCACTACGATATAATTATAATAATCTCATAATAATGCATAGTTACGTTTCAAAGACTCATTTCGGACAGACAATGCAGCATAATAAGCTGACAACATTCCCGCCAGAACTCTAAAACCACAAAAAAACAATATATACACCGACAGCAAATAATAAGTCTTTCAGCCAGTGTGAAAGAATATAATACCGGAGGCTCAGTCAATTTATTTTCTTCATTTGGCAAGCACAAATTTGCATTTTACGTCTTACGTTTATTTCACAGCATAAAGAATCTCAAATGTTTCTTGCCGATCTTGTTCCGGGCCAGGACGGTTTGATTCATCTCCGCTTATCATCTAAAGAAGGGATGGGAGAAAGTGGACGTGAGTTCTACTCCTCTTGAAACGTCATCGGCGTTTGGAAAGGAATCTCCTTTTCCATTTGATTTCAAAGAGTCCACGGGCATCGATCGACGAGAAAGAGGCTCTTCTGGGTCGTGAGGATGAGGTAGCCCGTTTTCGGAGGGATGGCGTAGTTTTGGAAAGGTCTTAGAATATCTTTCTTAAATTTCGTCCTGTCGGCGACGTTAAAACTTCTTTCCTGGAGATGGGGGGACGAGGATTCGTAATAGACGAGGGGGCAGGCTGTGGTCTGAATAATATGCACTTGGTCCAAAGCCGTCGTTCTTACTCCAAACGTAAAGTATCTTTTCGTGAGAATAATATTCCTCCATCGAAAACTGATGCGCGGATCCGTATATCTCTGGTCTGTTTGAATAGGCCGTCTCAAAGCTCGATCCACCCGGTTCGAAAAGATGGGAGATTCCTGTTTCGTTTGTTGAGAGTCAAATAAATTCCTATACAGGTTCTGAACGAGTAGGTTGGAGTATTCGACATCATGCTTGAAAGAGTCGATTCCTCGATAAGTTAGTAAATGTGGAATAAATTTCGCACAACGACATGCCAGAAATATTTTCAGGTTTGTGATTATGCGTGAGCGATTTCAAATCCTCTACACCCGAAATCGGTTGAGTTGGAAAAACATCGAACAGCGACACGGCTCCCAATGGAATATAAAAATGAATCTCGCTCAGTGCTCTCGGCTTTTTATATACACACAGAGTCTCTATGACGTCATAGTTTAATTCATTTTTTGTTTATATATCTATCTTTTCCAAGAAATCTTATCGCCCTGACCTATTTTTTTGAGTGGGTTGGAATGCGGAAGTGAAAGTCATCATGAACCAACCATGACCTTCCTATTTTTTTCAGTTACCCTTTCTATTCCAAGGACGTCCAGAGATATAGAGGAAGAAGGGAGAGGAAGGGAGATCTCTCTCTCTATATATATATAAATAGAAAAAGAGAGTCAAACAGTCGTATTTTGGGGGGAGAAGTCGATCATCATGAGGAATCCCCAGCTCACCACATATATCCCTTTCAAATATAAAAATTTTCAACTTTTCTTTTATCTCATCAAAGGAGTCATTTACTTGAAAGCCTCCGATTTTTCAAAATGTGCGGAGTATCATATCGTGGGGAGCTACCACAAGATGCGGGACCAATTTCTGGCCGACGAAAATGCTTTCACGGCACGTGAAATTTCGACTTTGGATTCACAAATTTTGTCGATGAAACGAGCTAAATATCATTACACGTCAACCTTTCTAACCCTTCCGCAAATGAACAATATCATGAATCGTCTTGAGAAGAAAAAGGGGATTCTCGTTCATTTTAGCGACTGGTTGCACAAATTTCTGCACGAAACTCTCTCGATCATGAGAACTGGGAAGAATCCATATTATATTCTCGACGACAATCATCTGCACGAGACCACGACTTTTAAAAAAATTATCGAGTAAGAAAAGATAGAATGGTTGTAAAGCTACCCCATCTCTCTCACCGATGATGATGATGAGGAGGAGGCGGATGAGGAGGCGGGTGAGCCTGTTCAGAAGAAAAAAGTCTTTCCGAAAAAGTCTATCCTCATCCATGAGAACGAGGAGACGAAGGAGTCTGTTCGGATTCCTCTCCTCCATTTGTCAAAACCCTTCGAGGATGAAAACCGACCCTTTGTCAAAACCCCTCGAGGATGAAAAATCATTCCCTTTACCAAGACCTCTCGAGAAAACCCCTCGAAGAGGATAACCTGTCCTCCCCTTGAGACCCCTCGAAAGACCTTTACTCCCTTTGTCAAAACCCCTGGAAGAGCGTTAAGCTCTCGATTTGTCAAAACCCCTCGAGGATAAAGGAACCGGAACTTCTCTTTCTTTGTCAAGACCCCTAGATGAAGAGGGACCGCTTAATATCTCAAGACATGATTCTCCTATATCTCTTGAGGATCCGAGAGAAACCATTCCTACTGAAAACCAATGTATGGCCGATCCTCATAGAAGACCCTCTGATGAGACTAGGCTTCTATTCCAAAAACGACTCTGCAATATGACACCCTATTCTTCTAAAAAGGATCCTAGAGAATTTGCAGATAAATGCATTCAAACTAATCCCTTTATAGTAACCCTTTTGATTGGAGAACCTATGCATTAGCTTCGGGAGGGGGAAATAAGATTCCACAATGTTTCTATCACAATTTAGGAAAAAGGGAGGAGATGGGGAGTAAAACACTTGTGAATGTCAATGGGTATGTATGGCTCAGAATGAAAAAAATAAATAAATAACCGAAAGACTGTTCTTAAAGAAATGGCGCTGTCTTGTCAATCGAAAATCGAGTCGGCTGGGGAACATTTCTGAGAGCTGGAAAAAATTTTCTCTGGCTCATATTTTAAAAAAAAACTTTTTATTAATTTTTATAATGTCTTTAGACATTATAAAAATTAACTCTACCACCCTTTCTTAAAAATAGATTTCTAAGAAAAGAATGAAAACGCCGTTTCGTTTCTCCTCGCACCCAAAATCACGGAAAAGGGTTCCGTCAATATCGTTAAAACCCATGGAAAATAACTGTACGGAATTTCTCCTTCGTACCACGCAAGCCGTGATAATAACCACTCGCCCACACAGCGGTTCGTTTTTCTTTTCGGTGAGCATTTTCTATGGAAACGGGGGTTTAAAAACAAATACCCCTCGAGAAGTGCCGTTCAACCGGACGTAAGCCAATTCTTTCACAATAAAGGATCCTTGAGAATCGTAGAAACCTTCAAAGTCGAGCACGAGTTCCATGTTGTCTTTTCTTTCCAAGATGACCTTTATTATTTATTTATTTATTGAGATGCGCACGAGAACATAAAAAACTGGGAACTTTTCCCAGAATTTATACGACCTGTCACGTGCTCCCTTGCCTATCTCTCTCTCTATAAAAGAGGAGATCGCAGAGAGAACGCTATCCTTTTTTCTTCAGGACACACACACACAAAGAAAGAGAGAGAGATAATTTTTTTCAGTTGAATATGGACAACCTGAGTGCCAAACCTCTCAAAGGTTCCTACATTGTTTTGGATATGGAGTCATTTCTCTGCCATGATCAGGAGACTGGAGATATATGTTTCATCTTGAAAGAGCTGGGCTACATCACCTATGATTTAACTTTATGCGGATCCATGATTTGTCTCTCTCCTGTCCATTACGATGACTTATCGTCCCGCTATCGAGCTGCAGTCAACCAGACCATGCGGAACCGACACGGCCTGCAATGGACCGAGGGTCGTCTTTCCTACGAGTATCTTCCTACAATCCTGAAAATGCTGACCGAAAATGTGGACGCGATCTACGTCAATGGATACGATAAAGCCGAAAACTTCAGCAAGCTCTGCCAGCGGCCCGTTTACGACATTTACGTCCCGGGTAAAACCGAGTGGCGATACAAGACGAAATGCACACGACAACAATTTTTCCGCAAGCAGTATCTGATTCATCGTGTCGAGAACAAGGTGAAGAATTTTCGATACGACTTCAAGGAGGGCAGTTACGTTCTCCGAAAATTACACTCTTAACCCCCAGAAAGTAAAACCGTCGAAGGATAGGGGAGGATCATGAGGAAGTTTCAGGAATGGGTCATGGTCTATTTTTAGATGAATAATAAGAAGAGGAGCAGGCGGTGGAGGAGGAGGAAGAGGTGTATGAGGTCGAGACTCCCCAGGAGAATCCATGTGATGACGAGGAGGAGGAGGAGGAACTTTCTACGAAATGTTTAAATTGGGACGCTTTACGAACCCAAGAAAATTGGTCTCAACCTCTATCCCACCTAGATGTGAAAGAGAATTCTCAAGAGTACTCTTTGTGGTCCCCTTCTAAAATTTCGTCTTGGAAAGATCTCTTGAATGTTCATCAATGGAAGAGTATGGGCGTTTTTATATATATGTGAATCTCTAGAAACTAATAAAAAAATTTTTTTTTCGTGATGTAATGATTTCTTTTTCAATCACTCCACCATTGGTTTCGGGACTCGATGTCAATTGTAAATCCTATCATTTTTGAGATTTTGGGGTTGTAATAGTATCTTCAGAATTCCTAGGAGGAGCTAGGGATGACAGGTCTCCTGCGTCTTACCGTAGTCAACTGTAAAACCCATCCATTTCGAGATTTCGTGGTTGTAACAGTATAATCAGACAGTCGGTCACAAAAGTATTCGAACACCGGTACCCATTCAGAAAATTTACTTTTCCGTTGAGAAACAAAATTGTCTCCAGAGTCTATCTTGGTTCGATAGACAAAAAAAAAAAACAAAAGGATGGCTCATGTCCAAAATTGGCTAGGTGCATGAAACAAAATACAACATGACCTATCTGGGTGAGATGGGAAACAAAATGGCTGCTCACGTAATCCATTATTGCGCTCATAGAAAACGCAAAGTGTGGCTGCGGCTCGTCTCGGTTCGCGAAGAGTGAAAACCCAAAACGGTCTGCAGTGTCTATCTTTGTTGAATGAGAAAACAAAAGGATGGCTCATGTCCAGTTTATTTAGGTGTGGGAAAAAAATATAACGTGACCTATCTGGATGAGATGTCTCCAGCGATCCAGTATAGACTTTTTCCCCATCTGCAATAGGTGACATCTATAAACAATTCCATTGAAATCTCCTCGAAATATAAGAAACAGCTAGCTCGTGAAATTGTAAAGTATTCCCAAAAAATTCCACTTCTTGAAGAAGGAAAAAACACCCTAGCTGCAGATGAGGTAGAGAGAGAAAAAGCATGTTGCAC